CGCGAAGGACCACGTCCAATGTGTATTTGGGAGATAGCACATCCTGGCGTTCTTAGTCGCAGGAGTGACGTTAGTGTATCCCTCTCGTGCGCGGAAACCTCCTGGACCTCGTCGAAAGGCGGGATCGAAAGACCCCCCCAAGAGAGAGGCGCGCGACCCGTGTGAAGGAATCTTGCCGAGAGGCTCCGTGGTGGAGCTCAAATCGGCGATATGGTTAGGGAAAGACACGGCGACGGTGTGACCACCTGACGGTGGCTTTTGATTTATAGGACCGGTGGGAAATAGGCCCGAGACGGGGGGAAAGGGCAGATCAAAACACCCGGAGGCTCGTGTGCTTCTGTGGCTTGGCAATTTAGTTGGCCTAAGTCGGGATTCGTCAGGAGACGTGACTAGATGCAGGCCTCAATAGGGGCATTCGACCGTCAGGCAGACTGCTCGAACCCCTTGAGTCGAATTAAAGATAGACGTTGATTTCTTTTTTATTCTGTGTTGTGGTTTGTTGTTTTCTTTTTTTAAAATCCCGCGGTGTTCCGAATTGTCAAGCGGGGGAATAGAGGGAATGGGTTATGGCAGCGACCGTACAGTGCTGTCAATACAACCCTTAAGATAAAAAGAAGGGAGGAAGCAAGGAACGAGTGACAAAAAAAGAAAGTTGGAGAAGGAAAAAAAGGCCAGAGGATTCGAGACGGGAGAGAAAGTAGGGGCACATCTGGGGTTCAACCAAGAGTTGTCCACATACCATGGGGCGGGTCACACATATTACGCAGTGTGTAGGCTCCTACGATGTACACCATGTACTATGTATGGAGTACATACGGAGTACTCCGTAACCAATACTAGAAGTACAAATTGGGAGCCCTGCTTACTACAAAGATTCTAGACGCACCGTAGGGTCCCTGAAAAGCAGTTTCTCCAGCGACCCGGACGAAGCCACGCTATTTCTGCCAACGCCTTTTTCTCCTGATTCGAAGCCGGTGGAGTAGACCCATCGACATGCGACAGGTACCAAACTTAGTCGAGTCCAGACTCTTTTGTTTTGTTTTGTTCTTTTTTTTCCCCTTATTTTGCTTTTGTGTGTCTTACGTATATTGTACTCTTCTGGTTCGTCCAATTGATTGAAGAGAGAATACTTATGTTCTTGAACTGGTTGAACATCTTACAAAGTAGGTGTCTGGGCGGGGGCCCGCCGGCCGCCCGGCCCATTTGGGATTACTTAATCGTGTTCGTAGTGCCCGGTTAGGTAAATCCATACCCTGAACTCAGGTCAACTCACAACTAATTTGTTACACTGGTCTATCAATTATTTCAAGCCACATTGATTCATATTCCCAGAAAGTAATGTGGAGGTAAGGCTGTGAAACAAGATGTAATATCATATGGAAAGCTGGAATGCGACCTTACCAATGTGGCTGAGACAGAGGTGGCTGGGGCCGTTTAAAGGTTCTCCGAGCCATGGCCCCCTGACCACGTCAACCTTGGTTCATGCAAGTGTGTTTACAACTGTACCTCGGTACTAAAATATAACTGCATCATCCTTGTTGGATCTTGTTTTCATCTCTATATGTACTTGGTCTCTTTAGACCTAGATCTCTAGAGAACTGCATCCACCGGGACCCATCATATTACAGTCAGCCAAAGTCGATCATTATTCAAAATACTCGGATTCAAACTAGAGGACTAGTGTAAACTCCGATGAACCATGAGTTAATGAACATCCAGCCCAATCAAAGCCTCTATACCAACCCACGTTGCTAACCATGGTCTAAAGCATGATCATCTCCAATACTCCGTACATGCCCCAGAATTAAATGACAACTTCCATGGACAAGAGTCTTTCTAACGTGGGTACCGGCAGCATCTAGACAAACTAGCCAGCCTAATGGAAGAGAGACACTTCATCGGGTACCCAGTACCAGATCCGATCAGCAGAAAAGCCCCATAAGCTTAGCCCATCAAATTCCTAGTACTAGCTACTAGATACCCGAGCCAAACTCTCATTTATGCGATGCGCTGAGGCCTGGTTCGCGTAGCTAGACGTCCAACGAGCCACATCAGCCCGTTTGTAATGTGTCTCGGTATAGCTGATAAGATCGGCACTTAGCTATATCGATACTGAGGAACTAAATTTAGGAAGCTATTCACTATTGAAGAAAAGCTAGCTCACGACTAGCTTATGCACCCAAGCATAATATATATGAGGTCATAGCTTCTCTCTTAGTCCCACTGCTAGACTATCATTGCAACCCAACGCACTGTCGATTGATATCATCATTATTTATGCAGCTTTCAATGATCAATGTGAAATATATCCAGACAATGTTGTGGCTTCGATCTTGGCTTCGGCTGCGGCCGCGGACTTGAGGTCCGAGAGCTTGTTTGAGGTGCATTAGCAACCTGTGCAGTGGACGAATCCTTAAATGGAGTTACATATATCCTACATCTAAAGTAACCTCCAGGGTATTGTCATTTTATCTATTCGGTTCATCTTTACCATTAACCCGGGCTGTTGCAGAAATAGTCTCTATCTCCCCCATGCCATACGTCCGACAGATAAACTCCATGCAACATCGGGACAGGGCTGGGCAGCGAGCATACTGACGTCCCTGAGGAACAATCCGTTCGCTGGAACCCTGCCATCTCCTCAGATTTCCCTTTTTGGTTCAAAGTCTCGGATCTTATCGCAACCCAGCGCCAGTCCGCTGGTCGCCTTTCCCCGCACTGCGATAGCGATGATATCGGCAAACCCTAGCCATTTGAGCATAGACTATCAAATCTCCAACTTTATGTCTATTATCTAATGGGAATTGCAGATCCTTCAATCATATCTATGATATAAATAAGCATAGGATTGCATCTTCGCCATTCTTCAAGAGCAACATTTCATCGTTTAGAAGCTCTCTGATACGACAACAATATGCTGTCTCTGTGGGTTGGGGCCATCTTCCTTTGCGGGTACATTGTCATCTGTGGATTACTCTCGCCTTTGTCTACAATCCCGGGCCCGTGGTATACTCGATTTACAAGTTTATGGATTAAGTACCAGGAATTCACAGCAAATCGACGAGAATCAATTCATCGCTTGCATAAGATCTATGGTCCTGTTGTCCGGTTGGCCCCCAATGAAGTATCTTTTACCAGTCTGGATGCGATTAAAGAGATCTATGCTTCGGGGGGAAGTGGGTATGACAAGACGGAGTACTACGATCTTTTCAGGCAATTCAAGATCAAGTAAGTCTTTGCATCACAGAAATAGCTAGCATCTACGTACTAATGCAGAGCTTAGGACAATGTTTTCTACGTTATTGAAAGACGAGGTACTTACTTTTAGTAGAAAGATGATACTCGAGTGCTGACATCCACTAGCATAGCAAAAGAAAACGCATCTTTGCCGACAGATATGCCATGACCAATATCATGAAAGACAAGCCCATGGCTGTTATTCACGAACGGGCCACGGCTTTTGTATCTAAGTGTGTCGAGGCTGGGCAAAAGAGTGTGGATGTTTACGTACGTTATCAAAATATTACAGAATCCAACATGAGAAATACTAATTCTATTAGTCTTTGCTTCACTGCTATGCCCTGGACTGTGTTACTCATTTCATGTTCAGCCCCGGCGGCCTGAGGTCTCTCAACATAGCCGAGGACTTCGAAATCATGCACGAACTGACCTATCATCAAAGTCTCCAGAGTACGATCTGCTTAATGTTCTTCATGCCCGTGATAAATACTAAAGGAAAAACAGAAAACCTCCTGGAGTACTACCTTCCTGCATTAGCACCCTATTTCCCAAAATTCCTCCACGCCCGCAGCGCCCCAAAAGCAAACCAATACGTGGTAGACATGGCCGGCCAAATTGACCTCGACGGCCACTCCCTAATGGAAAAACTCAAACGCAAAGAATCAAACCTGGAACTAATGCAAGCCGCCGCAGAATGCAAAGACCACATGGCGGCCGGCATCGACACAACGGGCGATGGTCTGTGTTTCTTAATGTGGGAGCTCTCACAGCCTCAGAACCTCTGTTTCCAGGACAAACTCTACAAAGAGCTTACCGCCGCGCCGGGCGATGCACCCCTAGATACGTATTTGTACCTCGACGCAGTCATCAAAGAGGCGCTGCGGTGTGCGCCACCTATTCCGATGTCGCTGCCTCGCTATGTACCTGCTGGTGGAAGGGAAATCGATGGCTTCGTTGTTCCGGGACATACTATTGTTAGCTGTCAGCCTTATTCGGTGCATCGGATAAATGAGAGTGTCTTCCCCGAGCCTGATCGTTTCAATCCAGATCGGTGGCTTGTTGAGGAGGGGGCTGCTGAGCGGAACAGGCTTTTCTTTTCCTTTGCTACGGGTGGAAGGGGTTGTACAGGGAAGAAGTGAGTTGGTTTATCTCTTTGTTCTCTTACTGATGCTGATTGCTGATACTGTTTAGTCTTGCGGTTGTTGAGATGAAGATGCTGCTGCGGGAGGTGTATTCTCGCTATCGGACGACAGTGGCTTCGGATATGACTGCTTCAATGAAGCTGGAAGATCAGATTATCTCTTCGAGGCCTAAGGGACAGAGTTGTAAGCTGGACTTTGCGGTTATAGAGTGATATTAAATGTCTTAACATTGTAGTATATCGAAAAATGCTATGGAGTATAAATTCAGAATTGAATGTGATAACCCATCATAATTTGACAATAATGCTAAACGTAATGACCAATCATGATAGATATTTCAAATTGTGATGTCCATGAGGAGAATACGGGAATCCCAAGCCGATGCGGGGTGAGAGGGGAAGATAACCGGCCACTTTGATAGGACAATCTTTCTCTTCGACATTCCCAATCTGGCTCTGTCACGTATCTCGTTCAGCACATCTCATTAGTTATCTATTTCCTTAAGGTACTAGCTCTGGCTACTACCTAATATACTCTTACAAACACACCCATCCACGCTCCTATACTGATCTAACCACCTCCATCAACTGAGATCCCACTACATCAAAACCCAACAATATGGCCATTAAACCTGAACAATCCAGCTGTCGCTTCTCCAAGCGAATCTCATTCCGATGGCTTACAACACCCGCCGAGGAAACAACCGATACAATCGTGATGTCCGTGAAGGACTGGTACGTTGATCTGCGGATCGAAACCGCAACAGGAAAAATAGACTGGGCAATTGCCGGGCAGAGGATTGTAGAGAGCCAGGAGCCTTGTAAGTCACCCCCCGAACTATATCTAAAGGATGCCATTGCATCCAGCAAAACTGATACGAACCATCCATTAACCAACTCATTAGTGCGGGTGACTTTCTCCCATGAGCTTGACTCTCACAATGCATTTGAGACCATTGACTGTGGGACCTTTGTCCCCTTGCCAAACGGCGATGATCTCGAGATGGGGTCTATGCCTCGCCATGACCTCCCCGGCGCACCTGACAAGGAGTATGAGGAGGTGTGGCGGGAGTTGCCATTCAGAGAAGGCCCCGAGGGGCCTGCGAAAGGGCTTTCATGGGTTCTGGAGTCAGATGATGGAGATCTTGGCAGTGGAGAAGGGAATGTGACTATCCAGAAGACTTTTATCGGTCGCATTTGGGGAACGTATTTGGCATTGCACCAGACACAGACACATACGCGACAGAAGACTCCATCTGGTGAGCTAGTTGTGAAGAAATCCGGCGCTGATGTTACTGCTAGAAGGGAAGAGTGGGAACCGGGGTGGAAGGAGAAGTATTTGGTTGGTGAAGCTGCGGGGTCTTTGCCTTCAATGGTGGTCGGGTTTGATGGAGAGGGCGAGGGACCTTGGAGAGTACCAGGGGAGAAGGTACAAGTTCAAGGAAAGACGTATATTGTTCGAGCTTTTGAGGAAATCTAGGAGCATAAGATATTTCCTTTCAATTATAACCGACATTTGCCAACATGGATTCAAGCACACTTCTCGCGATATCGGATGATTACCGTTGGATCTCTCATTTAGCGTAGTTTCGCCATCTATATATCGGATAAGAGATTTGATGCAAAGCAGCAGACTGCAATCTCATTACCTGGCCTTGTATTGCATCTTGATATGCAGGCTATGTATGAGGCACCGAGTAGAGCGTTCCGGGTGGGTTAAACCGATAGTGTACTCTAGACTGAGCTCCAAATTACAGAGAACCAGCTTATACCATACAGAATAAATCCTTGCATGTTAATTGACACAAAAATAAGCAGCAAATCCAAGCTTGGTAGCAAAACTATCCCAACTCCCAAACCAGCTGCCCTATACCTTCCCGAACAGGACAAGCGCACAGATGACTCATCCCACGTGACAGCAATATAAAACCCGCAAACCCACCTCCACGCCAAATTTCCCTTCTTCAAGCGCCATCCCCACCAATGCTGCGTTTCTTTGCTACACACGGCGAGCTTAACAGCTCGTCCTCGCGACTCTGGGTCCCGCCCAGAGCCGCGAAACCCCTTGCAAATGAGAAATTCGGAGGAATCTTCAAACCCCAACCCGCGCCGTCGTTCGTTTTTTCGCGCGTCGGCGTCGGTCCTGCCCGTGAGGGCCTGGTGTGATCCTAGATCACTTCTTACCCACACTTGCACTTGACATCAGAAACATCGGGCGACGGGGGCTTGTCCCCCGGACCCCTTGGGAGAGTCGGTGCGGAGATTGTGTGTGATGACACTTTAGTGCAATACGCAGCATACCTTGCTCTGTTTCCTCTTCGGAGGGACGGATGGTATCATTCGATTCCGATCATTCTGGTGGGGATGGCGCTTCACTCTTTTTTTCAAGGTCAGTTTATGCTTCCTCCCCTGCTTTTTTTTGGGGGGGTGTCTGGGAGGAATTTTTTTTGGCGACCTTGCTGATTAGTGGGGTTGTGGACCTGCGAGGTTCCTTAGGATCCTTTGGCCTGTGGGCTCGTTGGGTTTCGGTCGCTGGGGTTGGTGTTGGGTTTGTGGGGGGGGGGGTTTACATATTCACAGTGGTGGACACAATAAAATATATGAATTCCTGAAATATATCTTTATGATAACCAAATGGCCGGTGAAATATCCTAAGAATCACCTTTTACTCGTAGCGATATTGGAAATATTTCAAACTCTAGGTGAAAAATGCATGTTTGGAAAACTTTGCGAGGTCGAAACCTCGACCGCTGAATGTGTAAATTATCGTGAAAATCTTGTTAAAAACCCCTGTTGCCAGGGATGTAGTGAAAGAACATTTCCCTCCAGGTTCTTTCCATTATCATCGAGCTTCATTTTTAGCATTGCCCATATCCCCTCGAACCACCGGATTATTCGTTTACTCTTCGTCACCGATCTGTGTTAAACCCCACGTTAGCTTGTTTTCTAATGATCTCGACCATGGAATAATTAAGAACTTACCTTAGGAGCGAGGTAGAACCGCAGGTGGCCACTTCCCAGACCGTACTCGACCAGCAGCGGCACTTCCTGGGAGAGGTGCAGCACGACAGACGAGGACAGGTTGGAGGCCTTGCAGAAGTTGACGAGGTACTTGAGGGAGAAGGTCAGGGCGACGGGTTCGGAGAGGTTGATGACGACGTTCTGGTCGGGCTTGTCGACGTTGGTGTGCTGGCGGATGGTGACGGATCCGTTACCGATATCACCCTGGCAGGAGAACTTGACACCCTCCTTGCTGGCCTCGATCACGACTATGGAAGAAATTAGCACAACGGGACTTGTTTGCCTGCCGGCCAGGCTTGAGTATTGCCTTGGGAGAAAAGTGACTTACCAGACTCGGACAGTGCGTTGAGATCTCTGCAGATGCGCTGGAACTCGGCTGAGGGCATCTCCACGGTGGCGGCGTACTCAGTCTCAGGAATGGCCAGGTGCTCCTGGTCAATATCCATGAGCTTGATGTCGTACTCGCTCAGTCGGTCTGTCTCTGCACTCTCGAACATCAGGTTGACGGCATCAGGGGAATCCTCGGCCTTGAGGGTCAGGATGTCTTCATTCTGGGCGGCGCGGAGCACCTTGGTCAGGGAGAGCAGGTTGATGCCGAGGGCGATGTTACGGTCGCAGCGGTAGGGAGAGAAACCCTCAGCACGGAGAAGCATGGAAACTAGGGCAACGTGGGAGTTGTCCATGGCCTGGAGGGCGATTCCGGAGTCATTGCAATCGAAGTTGCAGTCCTGGACAAGATCCTTGATGGCGTCGACGACCTACACACAACAGAGTTAGTAAATTGTCGATTGCTGAATTGGTTGAGTTTTATAGGTCACATACGCGCTTGAGAAGGCTGGCTTGTTCCAATCGTGCTTCCAACACTAGACAGTGGGTTAATTGATCAGGTCTTCGCACACAACAATCTTTTCGATTTGGGATTGGTCGACTTACTCTTGATGGTTTTGTGTGTTTGTGTTTGATTAAAATGGGTCGTAAGGAAATAGGGGGAGAATGTGTGTCTTTTCGAAGCGAAGGAGGTGATAGGGAGACAAAAATAGTGAAATTGGGTATGTATTTGAAAGAAGATGAAAGAGGCAGCAGGCTAATATAAGGATCGCGTTGGAGGGTGGGGAAGACGCGGTCGCGTTTGGCGATATGTCCTTTTTGGGTTAAGTTTGATACCTCAGGCGCCAAGGCAATAAGGCCTCCTTCGCATATATCGCCGTAAGGGTTTACCGATATAATGACCACCAATTACGAGTAGTATGAACATTGGAAGGATAATTCATTTGCAGAAGAGCCAGCTGTAATGTGCAAATTGCCAATAAAAAAATTGACATTAATCCCCACACTCAACGAAGATGGATGCTGAAAAAACCGCCATCCAAGACCACATAAAGACAGACGAATAGATAATAATGGCACAAAAGAAATAAGTAATGAGTAAGTAGCAAGAAGCAAAAAGCAAGAAGCAATAGTCCTCGAATAAAACACCGCTGTCGCCGAGCACCGTCTATATGTACATGTTGTGGGTATCAATTTGCGACTTCCCTGCTGCTAGCGCTGGTTGAAGTCAGACCTGTGCCGGATGGCCCAGACGAAAAAAAGGGATTCTGTCGAATGCATCAAGCATGAGACAGAAGTCTAAGACATATCTTAGATGCTGGTAACTCGTTTTGCAGAGTTATTTCCGGGTCGCTGCTTGATGACCATTTCCAGTTCCTTGAGCATATTATTGCTGGCATCTAACTTTTCTCTGGCAATCGCCTGCCTGGCACGGTCTTCTCGTACACGTGCAAGACGCTCGTCTCTTGTCAAAGACATCCTCTTGTTTCTTGAGGCCGGGAGTACAACAGCTTCGAAAATCTCCTCATCATCATAGGTCTGGGTCAGATCCGGCCGGCCCTCGCCAGTCAAGGCTTTCAGTGCATCTGTTGGGCTTCCCTCAACTGCGGTCAATCCTCCCAGACTTGGGGTTGGAGACATGGGCAACAAGAAAGTACTTGGCGGTCGTGAGCGATCCCCGACACTAAGGCGATCGTGTTGGTTTGCCAATGCGGCTTTACCAGCTTCCCACTCTTGGAGAAGAGCCCTAAGATCACTGCCAACCGAGTCATATTGTGCAAGGAGGGCGGCTTCAAACTCATCAGGGTCAGCGCGTTCTAGATTGGCATGTGACTCCTCGCTGGCAATATGCATTTTAGCATGCAAGGCACGGACCCCCTGTGACAGGGAGCTGAGCCGTCGAAACTGAGCACGCAGGTGGTCCTTGCTTGGTGAGGCGGAGGGTAACGGGGATGGAGGAATGGCATCACCTGCGAATATTAGCCAACGTTTTTGTGTCATAAGACAGGGATTAGCACTCACGGTCCTCCTCATTCAAAATTGCTGTCATTTTCAGCATGCTGTTGCCAGTCACCGTAGCGAGCTCGCGCATTTCCTCGACAGCAGAGCTCCACCGAGCAATATCGGAGCCACCACCATCGGCGCTGAGGGCTAGCAAGCAGCACAGCACGCTTTTTCTCACACTGTACAGTTTTCCAAATAGATCCCTCAGAGCGCGCAATGAGTACTGGTCTTCGTTGGCTCGCTGCGACAGCGACGCCTCAACCGCTTCGAGTTCTTCCAGTCCAATGTCATAAATGTCGTAATATTTCGCAAGATCGCCTTCATCGGTAAGTGGGCGTAAGGTGTTCTGGGATTGTATATACCGCTCGAGCATGGAGTAAAAGCATTCTGAGACCGCTCTGCGTAATCTCAGGCATCGTCGCGTCTGTACTAGATCCTCCAGCCGACTGATGGGTGGTAGAGGGGTGCTTCTGTGATAGTTTGTTAGCCCCGTTATCATTTTGAGCAAAAAGGTCGTGTTCTTACATCCGATAACCTCTTGAGACAAGTTCAACCTCCTGAATGAAGACCACAGAAGCCGACGCAGCAGAATCAAACCCCTGGGCGTTTCCAATAAAAGCGCCAGCTGCCTCAACAGCCTGGTGCCGGAGATATTTCAACCATTGCCGTTTTGCGAAAGCATAGAACAAGACACCGACAGTGGGCACAAGTACCAGGAGCACTCCAACTTTCTTGAGACTGAGTCCTGACCCAGTCCTTGAACGGCTCCAATGTAATAACCAAGCGATAGAAAAGGATGTGGCGGCTGTGACAATGGCGCCTTGAATTCCAAAAGTTGTAGATAAGGACGGGAGAGCTGAGGGTTGTTTTGCAGATAGGACATCTGCAGCGGATGTGTAGGAAGGAGCGCTGTGTTCGTTTAGCAGTTGCGATGCTACAATAACGTAGCCAAATTGTTCCAAAAATCGTTCGTTGTCGCTTCGTGCCAATCGGACGTTCACGGCGGACTAGATGGGAATAAAGGTCAGTATGATCCCGTGCGATCGTGGACGAAGGGCCGTACCGAGCAAGCGTCATATAGTTTCCCGATTAGTTCCCCCTGCGGTGTTCCTCGTAAATTGAGAGGTTTCGGTAGCTTGTTTCTAACGCGATTCTGGAATTTGGAAGCCCCTCGAGGGGCAAAGTTGGAGGAGCGGGTGTGATCATCATCGCTTTGATTCTCCTCCACGGGCCAACTCTCTTCGATTCCACCCTCCCCTGGCACGTGTGTCAGTAGGTTTTAATTCCTCGGGTATATTGGACATAGCTAACCTTCCAAGTAGTCGGCCAAAGGCGAGTTCTCATACACGATTGATTCCATGTTGCGGGATCATGCCGCGGTGACAGGAGAGCGGAGAAGGTGGGCGAGTGGTGACGCAAAACAGGTGATAAGGCAAGCGCTTACAGATCCATGTCGCAGAAGGATAGGCGCCGGGCAGATAGAAAAGGAAAAGTACTAAAGAACGTATATGTTAAAGGTTGGAAATGCCTGGGGCCACGTTGAGGCACGTCCGGGGAAAGGAGGTCTCGCAGTCACGAGAGTCTAATTTAGACTTGACCCACTTGCCTGTTCCTGATGATTTTACAATGTAAGGATTGTCGATTTAATTTAAAGGAGATTAGATGATACATAAAACTACGATGTACATTATACATATATATCTCTAGTTTCTAGCCAATCTGATCAATGGAGATCAACAAGGTTTACGATGTACATGACCTCGCTGAGCTGGCCCTAAGCTGCATGTAAGCGGCTACAGACTTAAGGGCTTTATGCACAAAATGCTGAGTCATCCGGCATAATCGGCCTGGTAGATCTGGCATCCACATGTATCTATTTTGGGGATAGATCACCATCCATGACACTTCTAGAATGACGATCATGCTTTTATTTTATTTAGTTTTTCTAAAAATGAATGATTACTTCCTTCGTAACAGTCACAATGACCGTGTTATGCATAATCAAATTATACAACATATGCATAAAGACGGTTATCTCTAACACATATGAAACACAATGTCTCGGATAGTCGTCTCAAAGTCCGTGTTATGGATAAAGGATATAGAGGACTGTTCATTGTGACGATAGCGGTGACCCTGAATACCGCCGTACTCCGTGCATGACGTATAATTGTATGTCACTAGTGATTCACCAGTATAGTCTGCTTATCAAGGACCAGATGGTCGATCAAAACCTGCGACTCTTTTGACCTGACCGGACTGGCATAGATATTAGCTGCCTCAACATTTTCCAGTCATACAAAATTTCTGGAGGTAACAGATATCGACTTCTAAAAGAGATTAGCAGGTACAAATCTCTAGCAAGTAAGGGGGTTGAAGCCTTTGCGTTTCAATAACTGCTCTGTTGTTACTAAAGTTGAGTTAGGCTACATGCTTCCTTCAGCAAGATATCATTTTCTGTGTTGTCATCATTATTAAGTATATTCTATATTCTATATTCTGTTTTCGCATCTAACATTATCTCATAATAAAAAGAATCCCTAGAGCTCTCAAAAAACCCCGATTCACACTGTGCCTTCGACATCCGACGTCTTTCTTTCAGCACCTTCTCTCCACACAACGATCACCACAAAACCAACAGACAAGCTGCAGATTATCGCTAAAATTGTCATCCACCACCCAAACCCAATATTTGATACCGCGATCGGCGACAGCACTGTGCCAATAGCGGCCAGAATATTCCGAACCAAATTCAAATCAGCAACAACCGAGGCACCCGCTCCCGGCTTAACATCAACAAGGAAAGGCATGACTGTTGAAGTGACAAGCATGAGTCCTAGTCCAAATAGGAAGGCTCCGATGAGAGGAGCAACCCAGAACACTTGTTTCTCAATCAACCAGCCATAGATGAGTAGACCTGCGGGAACAAAGCCAACGCCGTACCACACAGTCTTGATTCTCTCAACCGGGCGAATCTCTCCACCGTGGGTCAACTGGTATTGGCGCAGTTTAGCGTCGCTCAACTTTCCACCAACAACGCTTCCAATCGCGTATCCGAGACAATTGCTGATATAGCAGAGACCAATTTCGATGGCGGAGAAGTTATAGGGTGGCGCTGAGTATGCATAAGGAAGAGTAGTGTTGAAACAGTAGAGACTAGCGAAGCAGATGCTGACGTAGGCGATTGTCAAAGCAATCGAAGGAACTGCCAATAGTTTTAACTTTGGCAAGGGAGCAAAGACATCACGCGACATCACTTGGTGCCATGGTAGCTTTTCCTTGGTCTCGGTGGGAGGTTTCACCAGTGTCTCTGGAAGACACAACATCGTAAGCATCGCGGTGCTGAATGTGAAGATGGCCATGAAGTACAGGTTTGCTCGCCAACCAAGCCATACTTGGATAGCACCTCCGATAATTGGGGCAACCATAGGCCCAATCAGGGTTCCGAGGTAAAACCACCCTAGAGCCGAACCACGCTCAGTCGGAGTGAATATGTCGCTGATAACACCTGCTCCAACACTCTGAGCAGATGAACAGCCTAGTGCTTCAATGAGGCGAAACACAATAATCAAGGGAAGCGAATTGGACACAGCGCAGACGATCACGGCGATAGTCGATATGAGGAAGCTGAAAACTAGCACAGGTCGGCGACCATACTCTTGGCTAAGCGTGCTCCACCACAAAGGAGCAACTGCAAGTCCTAGGAGGAATACAGTTGTTGTCAGGGCGACTTTGGTCTGTGTCGTATGGAAGTGGTCGACGAGGGTCGTGAATGACGGGAAGAGGATGCAGGATGCAAATGGCGCAGTAAAGGCAGATAGAGTAATAATCACAACTATGCTTCGCTTTTGCCATGGAGAGTGAGATGTTGGGTCTCGACGTTTCTGAACAAAGCAGAAGCGATCAAACCACTTTCGAGTGGTTGATGTGGGCGAAACCTCGATGGATTTGGTCTCAGACATGATGGTTTAAATTTTCTTTTTTCTCCGGTCTTTGTAGAATAGAATGCTGCTTGATCGTGAAATCTGAATAATAAAAAAACATACCGTCGAGCAAGGTGTATTTAATATAGTAGTTGGATGGCCTCGAGGATTCGGGATTTCGGGGATTTCGGGAATACGGGGATTTGGGGGGGGGGGGGGGGGGGG